TAACTTGGAATCAGAAAAACTGGACTTCAGTTCAGTATCTGTGCAATCTTGAGCAAGCAACTTAATCTCTGCAAGACTGTCTCTGCAGCTATAGGCTGTCCCAAAAAAATGTACACACACTTGAACAGCTGATAACTCAATTTTCACTCCTTTTCAGATTTAACTGATTTGAAATAATGAGTAAAGCCAGACCAAGCTTTGAACAAAGAAAATTTATCCTAAAGTGCCACTAGACTTTTTTTATAGGAAAACATAAAAGATAAAGTATATGGGTCAAAACGAGCAACAGTCAATGACTTGAAAGTACACAATAAAAATAAAACAATAAAAGTAAACAATAAAAGTACACATACTGAATAAAATGATTCTTGATGTTTGAGATTCCATTGCTTCATGCTATCAGCAATGCTTAGGCCAGAATGGTCATCAGTTTGAAAATGGGCATTGGCAAAAAAATCACTCGTTTCTGTAGATTCTTTTAAATTTTGAAATTGAACTGTATGTTAATAAACACTGACTTTATAATCAAAGTTTGTATATATTTTTTGGGACAACCCTGTATGTATAATTGTTGTGCATACACTATGGGATTGTTGTGAAGAGCAAGTATGTATGCAGAACTGTTTTGAAAATAAAGGGCTAGAAACTTGGTATCATTTTGTCATGCTGTCTTTAGCTTATGCTTTCTTCATGCACCTCCAGTAGAGAAGTATGCATTTTGGGCCTTAGAATAGATGGTAAAAAACAGCAGGAAGGAAATCACACTATAAATAAGTGCTATGTATATGGAAATAAAGATTCATTAATAAAAACGTATTTCTTCCCATAAATGACATAGAAAGCAAAGTAAAAAGAATAAACTGTATGCTCTTCTCAATTTGTAACAAGATTTCAGTTTATAATAATAAAACATTTTGAAAATGTCATACGTGCATGATAAAAATTCAAGGAGTACAAAGGATTATTTTTATAAAAGATGGTCTCCCAACTGCTGAGTTCCCCATTCCCCTAACCCAGAGCACCAGTGCCTTGAGCACCAATTTCCTTTATGGAAGCAACTGTCAATTTTGTATGTGTGCATGTATGTACTTCATGTATAATTTTTGGTAACATTAGTTATGATTCTTTGTACGGTGGAACCTTGGTTCTCTAACTTAATTTGTTCTGGAAATCTGTTAGAGAAGCAATTTGTTCTAAAACTGAATCATTTTTTTCCCATTAGAAATAATGTAAATTGAATTAATCCATTCCAGACCCCTACATGATTCCATTTTAATCTTCAATTGCCAGTGATTGCTGTTTCGTGAGCACTTTCACACTCTCAGCAACATCAGCACTCTTGATGGACTCACAATTTAAAATTGTACTAATCATCTGTTTCACCATGCCATACAGGGTAGCCAATCAGACACAGGAACACCTCTATACTTTGCAATTATTTCCTTTTTAAGCTCTATTGTTGTTCTCACAACTTTTCACTTTGCTGCTATCACTAACGTTCTTAGGACCTACGGTGACTTACTGTACATATTTAATAATAATAAGCAGCAACAAAAGCAGAAAAACACAAAAATATTCACAGCACAATTTCCTGAGATGTTAACATGAGATTTAGCAGCTAACTGACTCATACTTGAGCATTCTCTCCTTTGTTTTTCGCCTGAGAGACTGGTGACTGATGCATGATTGATCATACAGGTTTTCAGCATGAAAGGGTTGTTGGCTCAATAACTGAAGTTTTGTTTGACAACCAACACATTTTTCCATGAACTTGGTCAAGAAATAAATTGTTCGAGATGGGAGACATTCAAGAATGGAGGTTTGACTGTATTTGCCTAGTCATAATTAAATCTTTAATTACAGTCCACTTATAATTTTTGGTCAATAATGCCTTTGTCGGACCTTCATTTGAGGTCCATCTAGTTGGTTGTCTCCTTTTTCTCCATGGTAGTTTGGATTAACTACTCCTGTAGAAAAACATCTTTTATAGTTTTTTCTTTCCTTTTCCTTTCATTATCACTTTTTAACAAGTTTTTGCAATACCCTAGAGCTGCTGGTTGATGAGCAGAACCAAAATCACTGTGGGTTTCTCCCTGAAGTGAGCCCTTCCTGAGTGATTTTTCTGTCGTTAAATCTACAGGCTTGTTTACTCACTCCCACCACATCATGCTCTTCAAGTGAAAGCCTGGGAATGGTTTATACCTGAGGATTTCAAAGTGTTTAATTTGTTGATATACATGCTGTTATAGAGTATAATCAAAATTGGGGCAGTCACTAATTCATTGTAATTAGTACTGTTTGCTAGTTTAAATATCTCATGCTTTCTTATTCTTCCTAAACTTGCTCTACAATGTCATAGAAAACTCCATTCCCTGTTGGCATCATTTCTTTTATGCTGAGCCAGAACACATCTTCTATTATTGAAAGTACTGTCTCAAAAGCATCCTATTTTCCTCATCTCCTTCCATTAAATGAATTCAGGATAAAATTGCAATCTATCTTTCCTGCTACTATGGCTGGTTCAGTCCCATGAAACAGTTTCACATAACTGCAGATTGCTGTTATAGATCACTGGTTTCTAGGAGGCCAAATCTTTGATGCTACTCATCAATCCTTTAACCTGTAGTATTACTTAGGATAAAGGTTTGGTTGAATGTAATAGACATATCATAATAGCTATGGCAGACACAAGATAGTCTCTCTTTTTACTTAGTAGTCCAAAAACGGGGTCCCAGGTTAGGTTGGTGGCTCTGCTCCCCAAGGCCATCCAAGGACACAAGATCTTTTTATCTTGTTCTACCTTCCCCAATGAATTGCCCTCATTTGTCCTACAAATGATCTGCTGCTTTGTCCATATTCCGAGCGGCAGGATAGAGGAAGAAGGGAAATGGGCTCTCTTCTCCTCCTGGCCATAACTTACTCACATAGCCACACCCTGTCGCAAGGGCCAAATGACAGTCTTAACAGTTTAAAAAATTGAAGTAAAAAATATATACCGAAAAGTGCAAAAATCATAAGTGTATAACTTGCTGAATTTTCATTAACAGAACACCCAGGCATAACTAGCATCCAGGACAAAAAAAAGAATACAGTACTACAAGAACCTCAGAACCTTCCCTCTACACCCTTCCAAGGGTAACCACTCCTCTGTGTTCTAAGGTTAATAGTTTCACCTGCTTTTGTACTATATATAAATGAAATCATCCAAAAATCATTTGTCTCTGGATTCTTCTGCATGATCTTCTGTGAGAATCAGCTATATTGTTGTGTGACTGTTCCCAACCAAAAATCCAATTTCTACGAAAGAAGGAAAAAAGGTATTAGGGGACTATTAACAGGTTACTAGCCATTAGTGATCTCATTGACTTTCATGTATCTTCCTAATTGTTCTTTTTTCCCTAAAGTCTTTTATTATCAACTCCCTCACTCCATATGAGCAGATGACTTTGCTGGAAAATGGAATAAGTTAATTCCTTTATTTTATCACTATTAATATACTGTGTCTATACTTATATCTCTTGTCCGCTAGCCTCAAATGAACTACATAGCATTACTTCTGCCATATTCTGTCAAAGCAGTCACAGGGCCTGCCTAGATTCAAGGGGGTAGAAAAATAAAATCCAGTTCTTAATGGATGACATTGCATAGGAGCATGTGAGGTAAGAGATTTTGTTGTGGCCATCTTTGGAAAGTGCAGTCTACCACACCAAGCTTGAAAGCATTTATAGAACTATTTAAAACCAACATTATCATAGACAGAACTGTGATAAATATTGTTTTAAGCCACTAAATTTTGTATGTTACTTACTGTCTCAAGAATGCTGCATAATGAACCACACCAAAACTCTGTGGTTTACAATCACCAGCATTTATTATTGCTCATAAGTCTATAAGCCAGCTGGGTGGTTCTGCCAATCTGGACTAGGCCTTGCTTTCAGTTGGTATCAAATGTATCTGCAGTCAGCTGGCAGGCTGGCTGGGGACAGCTAGTCTAGCATAGCTTCACTCATATGTCTGGCTGTTAACTGGCTATTGGCCGGTACAACAGAGGTGACTGGGCCATGTGCCTCATTATCCAGCAGGCTAGGCTGGGCTAGGCTTGTTACCATGGTAGCTGGGTAGGGTTCTAAAAGAACAAGTGAAAGTGTTCAAAAACTTTGGAAGTCTACTCAGAGCTGGCATATTATTTCCTCTGCATTCTATTAGCCAAAACAAGTCACATGTTCAGTTCTCCCGATCTAAGAGGTAGGTAAAGATACTCAACCTCTTGGTGGCAGGAGCAGCAAAATTACATTGCAAAAGTCACAAATACATAGAGGAATAAAAAATTGGGGATATAGTACAAAAAATCTACCCCAAATAAATAAAAACCCAATCGTTTCATTTATCTATAAAAATTCAATCCCTTTTTTTAAAGATGGAAATGTAATTTTTTTAAATTTACTTTTTATTATTGACAATATTACAGATGTCCCCCATTTTCCCTCCCTCCA